TAATATGATAGAAAAGAAGGTTAGAGTTGGCAACATCTAGGAATAGGCCTGATAATTACCAAGATAGTGTACATTACCGTATTCCTAGCCACGACCATAATATTTTATCCCAGTTTAATTGTGTACTTAATCTCAATGTTTAAAACTCAGGACTAGATAACTTGTGTAAATAATCATTTAATTTATTTTCTTTACAGTACCTCTCAAGTTGCATCGTCAATGCTTCCATAGAAGAAATAGAGGAGGAAGAAGATGTAGAATCCGTAAAGAGTGATGGTATGAACACAAAGGAAGGTACATATGAGATTGTCGGTACCTTGAAGAAACAGGATGGAGATAAACCAGACTGGGTGACAGAAATCTTCAATGTAAGCTAAAAGGATGTGTCTAAGTACAGTATCGTACGCTATCTCGGTAATGATAAAGAAAATTAGGGTTAGTATTGTTCGATTGTGTAATTTTTTCTGATGTTTCTTTTTAGTTTGGAGACAAGAAACAGATGTTGGAACATATGTCTGAATGTGACATCGTCATTTACGATATCAATGAAGACCAGGGTCAAATTGATGAAGCAACATGGGCTGTGTCAGGTACAGTTTCTTTCAAAGTCTCAAATAATTGTTTAGGTTTTCCACAATTTTCCAGATAGGTTTGTTACGTATAATTCATAGTCATTGGCTGTGGATGAGCTGACGTGGGATATGAATGCCCCTGCCCATTGGAAAGCCCCAGGGGGCGTGGAAAGACTATCTGTCACGATCACTCTTGAAGACTCACAGTAGTAGTTTAAATTTTTAGCTCTCAAAGAAGATATAAGAAACTTATCACAGCCACTGTACTTGTCGACTAGATGATGCTTTGTTGACCGCATAACATGAAGTTGACCCTTAGAGAAGGTTGTATGAATGAGTAGTCCACACACATCTTGGGTCGAAGCCTTCAAATATGAAGTTGGCCCTCGATCATAGAAGAAGAAAAAGATGACAAAGTACTATACTTTACAGCATTGTTTTAGCATGCTGGTATCTACTTACAGTATGGTCTGTTTTAGTATTTAATCAGTATTTGACAGGGGCGGATCCAGAAATGTCCGAAAGGGGGATCGAAAGTGGGGTTGATCAAGACAATACTACCCCAGGGGGAATTCCCCCACACAATTTTTGTTTTTTATAGACGCCCACAATTAACCTCTGAGGCATTTTGGGCGATCAATTATTCTTTTTCTTTTTTTCCCCTTTTTTTTTTCTCTTCTACTTTCCAAATGGAGTGGTAGGTGCAACACCCCTTCCCCTCCCCCAAAATCTGCCCTGTTTGATTTGTCAGTTATGGCCATGGGTTTTTAGAAGATGACAGCTGATGGAACAGTTAACAGTAGTGTTAATTTTATTTGTTTTACAGTTTACCTCAAGTTTCTCACATTATACCTTTTTATGTTTGATTTATATTTTCAGCACTACATGCCGAGTTGGAACGATTCAAAACTCCAAAGATGTTCATTCTGTTGTCAACTGTAATGACATGGGCAAAGAGCAAGCCGCTTGATCCCGTAAGAATTATACACACTGGACAATCTTGTTATCCAGGGTTTTTCTTATCTAGTTAATTCATGTGCATATTTTAATCTCACCATTATTGGTTTTAAAGTACAAGTCTGCCTTGTACAGAAAACAATATGAAGCATATTACAACATGATTTGCATTATGAAAGTGATTTGATTAGTTAATAGATATTCTGATTTTATCACCAGAGGTGCTAAAAAGCACTGTAAATGATGAAATAGGGCTATTTATATGGAAAAATGATCACCTTTGTTGGACAGACCTATCCTGGCTAAATATGGTTTAGAAACAACATAATGGGTTAATTGTTCACTGTGCCTTTGATAATGTTTTTTGAATTGGCATGTTATACATTTCTGCATATTATTATTATTATTATTATTATTATTATTATTATTATTATTAATTATGATACTATAGAACTGAATAATATTTTGTTATTTGTCACCATGAAATGAAAGATTTGTAAAAGCAAGTTCTGAAATGATGATGGTATTGTTGTATGTTATAGGATGACCCAGAGATTCCATTTACAGAGGATGACTACAGAAGGAGGAAAGCTCATCCAAATTTCAAGAATCACATCAGTGCAGAGAAGTTGGTTATCAAACATGGAAAGACAGTAAGTATCTGAAATTATGATGAAATTAATGATGATTAAAGTGAGATTTGATTTACTTAAAAATTGGTATTTGTTAGATATAATAAAGATACATAACAAAATATCACTTGCGACCTAAGCTGAGTGTTTGTTCATTCATTTATTCATTTATGCTTTCATTCAGTCATTTATGTATTCATTCATTCATTCATTCATAGATTAAATTCATTCATTCAATCAATCAAAGATTAAATTATTTATGTATTAATTTGTTTCATTCATTCAATCAGTCGAAGATTAAATTCATTCATTCAATCGATCAAAGATTAAATCATTTATGTATTAGTTTGTTTCATTCATTTCATTTATTCATTCATGCATGCATTCATTCATTCATGCATTCGTTTATTCATTCATTCAGTCATTTATTCATTCATTCAATCAAAGATTAAATTCATTCATTTATTACATTCATTTATTTATTTATTTATTCATTCATCAATTATTCATTCACTCATTCAATTATTCATTCATTCATTTATTCATTCATTCACTTACTGATTCACTATTTTTTCCCCATCTGTCTAACCATCTGTTTGTTCATTTTTTATCCATTTTTTTCATTTACATATTTGTGTTCGTCAGTTTATTGTATCTTTTGTTGTATCCTAGATAGGAAAATATTCAAAATTATACTATTTATGATTGTCAATTTCTTTTGCAGAATAAAGCAAAGTTTGTTACCTATGTAGTTGCAGCTGGCCTTACCTATGGAGCAGGTGAAAACATCTTCCATGACTTATTCAAGGTAAGCTTAATCAATGAAAATGATATATAATATTCAGGGAGGAGTATGTTACGGAATAATACAATGGACTTTTCCAGGGTGTCAATCAAACTTAAAACTGACCAATCAGAAGAGTGCTAGGAGTATGCGCGTGTCTAACAAACACAGGTGTTGTGGGACCTTAGCAACAGTATCCAAGGGGCGGGGCTTATGAGAAAAGACCATTTTATATTGGAACTGTTTTCATGAATTTACTGACAAACAATATTTTGAATTGATAGACTGCCTGGCATGGAGACACTGATTCCTTGCAGTGTTTTGGGAATGGGATGAACATCCTTCCAACTATACACATCAAAGATTTGGCCGGGTATGTATTTATTTTATTTCAATCCATAATAATTCTGTGTAAATGATAAAGATAATCTTGCTGGACTAGATTGCTCAGAAGTTACAGTACCTGCAGATCGTAGATCAGCGGTTGGGAAGCTCTCCAAAACATGAATGTCAAATCAAAAAGTTGAGTGGAGCTTAGTGCTTAAGATGCTTGCCTTCTAATCCCCGGGGTCCCCCTGTGACAGCAGGATATTTTCTCACGACTGAAAACAATTCCACTTCCTAAGCCTCATAAAGAGATTTACGCTGATAAAAGCATCACATAATTCCTTTACTTAAGAGGGCCCCTGAATATCAGCTGACCTTTTAGGATACACTTGAAAGGTCACCTTCTATAAATATGGTTTAAAATGATGTTATTGGTGGTACAGTATTTGATAATGGTGATGAAATGTAATGTCATGGAGATGATGATAGTAATATTGATGAGGGTAAATTATAATTATGATGTTGGTGGTGGTAATAAAAATAATGAAAATGGCAATGGAGATTTCGAAGATGATGACAACAACCACCATGTTCATCTTTCAACAAAGATATATCAATATCATTAATAATATGCCTTGTATGTACAATATCCTAAAGCCCTGTCCAGACTATCAAATTATATTTGACAAAAACATGCCTAAATATGGTCATGATGACATCACATCATGACCATATATAGGCACATCATGACTATATATGGGCATACAACAGAAAAATTTTCATAGTGTGTACAGATCTTTAAGAATTTAATATTAAACATTCAGCATCCTATTACTCAACTGATTCTAACCTTCTGTTTTTATTCAGTGTTCTTCAAAACATAGCTGACAGCAGACCCAAGACTAGGTACTTGGTTGCCGTTGATGAATCTCAGAACACCCTTGAGGAGATAGTAAAGGTGAGTTTCTACTCTTCATTACTGTGAGTTGCTGGTTGTTTTTTTTTTTTAATTTATCTGATGTATTTATGTTATGTATATAATATCATATTTTTGTTTGTCAGACACAACAATATTTGTTCAGACAAACATTAAATATTGTTTTAGATGATGTGATAATCAGATATGATTATTATGATTATCATTATGCATTATTGTGATTATCTTTTATGATTATCCTATGATTATTGTGGTTACCTTTTATGATTATCCTATGATTATTGTGGTTTATCATCTATAATTATATGATTATCATTTAAGGGTTTCATAGTATGATTATCCTTTATGATATATGGTTATTATGATCATACTCTATGATGCACTGGATTATAGATTATTATAATTATCTTTTTATGAATGTCATTATTATAATTGTTATCTAATATGATTATTATGAATACAATTTGAAAAAATGGTTATTATAATAGTAAAATGAAACCATAAGTTATAAACAGTGTGATTACAAGTCAGTAAAAATAATTTCCAGTTTATTATTAACCTCTTATAAAACCATCAAAACGTTGATAATTTATACTTTCTGTATCTCTTCTCTTTTGAAGAGTATTAGCACCAATCTTGGCACAGGTAAAGTGAAACATATCACCAAGGAGGAGGCTTTGCTAAAGAAATCTCTTAAAGTAAGTTCATAGTACTGATGTAATTATACATTTATGTTTTTAAAACCTTCTTCCATGGCAACAAGCCACTGGGCCGCA